AAAATAAAATTAAAAAATACAAATTCCAAAATAAATACATTAATATGTTGAATTATTACTTAGATAAGTCAAATTATTGAATTATTATCAAGAACAATATCTGAAACATATTGAATTATTGTTACGGAAACTGGTATTTAGTCATGAGAAAGTGTATGTTGCAGTTTAAAGAGTAATAAATCGCAATGGCTTGAAGATTCTGATATATAACGAAATGAATGCTCACACAAATTATACATACGAGTGATGTAGTTTATAAAGAAGTCTTTCGAAATTTGTAAATCATTTTACTTTTATACTTTAGAATAATGAAATCTCTATATTCTATTATATACCAATTTATATATTCCTAAAAATGATCTTAAGTTAGTACTGTAACTATGACCCGTGCAACGCACGGGTGTGATACTAGTTAGCTAAATCTTGCTTGAGTTACAATGGAGGGGTCACCATCTATTTATAATCTAATTCTACCACATACAAGGCATGTAATTTTCTACGCTGCATTTTCGGCAATCCATCCATCATGCATCAATCAGGGCGGAAAATCAATCAACAATTCCCCCGCAACCCCACGATTTCAGGAGTCACGTCTTGTTCTCATACCGGGTATAATCCATCGTTGTGGACCGGCCCTTGATCCATTATTTGATCCGATCCTTGGGCTTCAATCTCCCTTTGCTCTTCGAGCTGGACCTGTCCTGGGCTTCAAAATTATATTTGGGCCGCCTGAGGCTTATTCAATGGTCTGGAAATCCATCACAAGCCCCCTAGTTTCTTAGTCACACTTCATTAAGGAACAAATGATTAGTCGTCTTTGAGCCTCGTTTTGGATCAGAAAACAATCCCACTTCTTCACTCAAAGTCAGAGTCATAACGTCTATAAACCTGTCTTCTAACATTCATCGCATTTCCACCTAACACTTGACTTCATCTCAGAGATCTTGGCATGCAATTTCCCACCTTCTTTCCAGATTCCTTCAGTATGTCTTCCAAGTCCTCTCACCTAGAGTAATGGTGGCTGAAATCCTCTATCATCAAGGATTTGGAGCTCGCCCTCATGCGCACTCTCTCGGGGGATCCATTTAGGGTTCACCATCCCGACTCAGTGGACGGGGTGAACCTCGCCTACAATCTGGAACCGCAACGTTTTTTGGTGATGCACTACAATTTGATTCTTGCTTCTTCCTTTGCACCCCTTCATTCGGGAGATCTGCACGACCTAGAAAGTTCCCCCCACCCCCCGAGTAATTTACTGCAAATGCCCATAAATACCTTGCCTCTTACATCCTTCGCTGCCATGACATGCAAAGAACTCCATCTATTGAATAATTCATGACCATGTTTAGACTTGGTGGCTCCTTCCCCTACTTCAGCGTGTTCCCTAATCAGGAGTGCCCTATCTTCAAGAAGGTGGAGATGAAGATCGAGAAGTTGTGCAGGAGATACTTTGTCATAGATTTTCTGAACGATAGCCCTATAGACCTTCCCTTCATATTTCTGAACTCTAACCCATCTCAGACCCCCTTCTCCAAGGGTTCCCGGGCCAAGAAAGCTCTTAAGGAGATAAAGGGTGATGCCCTCATTGACCATGAAGACCTGCACACGGAACACTTGTTCCGTCTAGCCGGCTTCCACTTCCTCGGGAACAATCCCGCTGTTTCCCGCACCAAAGGGAAGCAAGAATCCCACTCAGCCGCAAGGACAAAAGGTTCTCAGAAGTCCCCTGCCAAAGAGGTGCATGCGGAGTAGGCCCCCTCAGGCCCTGCTAGCACTCGGGGCCAGATGTTTGTTAATCGTTTCTTCATAGTCGTCTCACTTCCATGCAACTTTACAAGGTAGATCCGTTTCGTCATTTGCGATGCGATAAGCATGTTGATAACGAATCAGAGGGTTATATATTTTTCGTTTATTCTTTTGTCCCTTCACCAACACTACAAGAATCTGTCGAATTTTCCATGGAAAATTTCCGTCGCAGATCCGGGATCTGCGACGGACATGCGACGCATGACGCACCATCGCAGATAAGGCGTCGCAAGAGATTAATCTGCGACAGACATACATATCCGTCGCTATTCAGCGACGGAACTGCGACGGTGAGTAAAGAATCTGGGGGTACTGGTTTTCTGCAACGGACACGCTTTTCTACTGGTAACCAACACTTTACGTCGCAGGTCCGTCACAGAAGGCAACATCCTAGACCAGTAGAAATTGTTTCTGGCAATTTGCAGTTTCTTTGTTTTTTCTCAAATATCAGCAACATAGCATTCATGGGGATGGGGTTTACGAAAAACACATATTGTAACTTAACTAGAAACAATTTTTTAATATTAAAGTCAATCAAAAACCACATAACAAATACAAATTAAGTTAATGTTAATGTATTGTATGCATAAATATTTTGGTGAGATAATATACATAAACATTGATAATGTTTTTAAAGTGTCTAACAAATGGCCCCTGGTTGCCCTGCTCCCCCGTTTCCACTGTCATCGTCTTGTGGTGGATGGTTACCACCATATAACCTTTTCAAATCCTCTTGAATGGTAGTGAATTTGGAGGTGAGGGCATCAAACTGATCCTGGAGGCGTTGGTTATGCTCTTTTAAGGCCTCTATTTAAGTCTTTCTATTAGCGGAAGAGCTAGAGCGACGACGGGTGGATGACGGCTTCAACTTTCTCATTTGATGCTCATAGTCACGAACTCCAGGCACCCGATTCTTTGCATTGTGGCCCTAGACTAGCGAGTACCATATTTCTTAGTCAAGGACATTCGGTTCGTTTTTCCTTGCCTCATCACGAAGAGTAACAAACTGAGCCTACAAATACACCACAACAACATCACCCAACTAATAACAACATCGAGGGTCGAGGGTCGGCGTGGGGTGTCGAGGCGCCGACGGCGGCGGAGAGAGGGCACTGACGGCGTGCGAGAGGCGGCGCGGATGGAGGCTGCGCTGCAAGAGGCGCTGACGGCGAAGGGGCCCGGCGAGGCTTAGTGGGCGGCGCGGTTGAGCCGTGAGAGGCGCTGACGGCGAGAGGCGCTTACGGATAGGGTTTCGTTTTTGGGGTGAGTCTGCGTTATTAACCGAAAAAAGGAGAATAAGTTGATTTAGTAATACTCTGCGACGGAAAGGGGCTCCGTCGCAACTCTGCGATGCATTTTATTCCTACGTCGCTGTTCTGCGAGACCGAAAACAATTTTAAAATTATTTGGTTATTTGTGACGCCTCTTGTCTTTCCATCGCAGAACTGCGACGGACCTACATACATCTGTCGCAAATGTTGTGTGGAACACGATATTTGAAATTCCGTCGCAGAGTAGTAGCATATCTGTGACAGAAAAGGGTCCATAGCAGATTTCCGTTGCAGATCCAGCAGATTCTTGTGGTGCAAGTATGAAAGTTCGAATTGAGTCTAGCTCGATATAATTTTTGTACTAACAATTGTTATCTAATGAGAATTTAACATAGTCAATATTTACCAAGTAAATTCTCTTACCTTTCCTGGAGTAAAGGGATGCCAAATTCGTGGATGTGATTGACATTTTTTTTCAAATCAAATTTCGATCCACAGATTGGGTTTAAAACCATTTGCTCTGATACCAAATTGTGACACCCTAATCCGTCCAGGTCTACAGCCCCTTTCGGACTGAAGTATTAACTTGGAAATCGTAAAAGTTTAAAACATTTCAAACACTTTTATTTATCACAAAATATTTTTCATAACATAAATAGTACGGAGTTCTCAATATCGCGGAAGCTTAAAAAATCATAATCACAAACATAATTTATTTATGTATTTCAATTCAAAACAATCACATCTATTCTGACAATCTCGCCTCCATCTGCCTCTAGGATCACGTCATTCTTTCTATTAACCTACGTGTAGCAAAATAAAACATACTACACACTTAGCGTTGAAGCTGAGTAAGCATATCTAATGCGTCGAACATCCATATAAATTAAACATTCATTGTTCAACATTCAACATTTATATTTGGTTTTCATATTCAATATTCATAATGTCAACATTTAACAATATCCTTAAACTATTCTTAGTTTAAGTCCAATCACTTTAATGTTTATCAACCCTTAAACAAATTCTAGTTTAAGATAATTAAACTATATTCCTGTTTAAGGTACTCCTAAATAATCCTTGATCTAGGCCTAGTTTAAGAGGTTTCAATATCTTAAACTTACCTTCGCTTAAGGCCAACCAGAAATCAACAGTGTAGTGTTCACTGTTGGGTTGGGTGGTACCCCCAAACGAGTAAGTACTCAAGTTTGGTTTTTGGATCCCGTACGTATATTTTAACCCAGGCCACCAAATATTCATAATTATAACCGCAAGGCCTATTTCTAAGCCATCTTAGAGGTTTTCTAGATAGTCTTAATAACCAACATTAATATAACTTAGAGTTCTTCTAGGTATCCTTAATAGTCATTATCAATTCCAAATGGATATATCTTAGAGTTCTTCTAAATATCCTTAACAATACAAATCATTTCATAATCATAAATATATTCATTTTTAATCATGATTCAATCATTCACAATAATCATTTTAATCAGTAGGTTCATCAATCATAATCATCCATACTAATCATTCATCATAATCATCAAACAACATAACATTCAAAGCAATAGCAATTAGCGGTCTAGCTTCGAGTGTTAACACCCTAGCTTACTGTCATGCATCACGTAAGGTCTTTTTAATTGTCAAAACATCATTTTTATTCCAAAAAATCATCTTTATATTAATCATAACTGATTGGAATCAAAAACAGGATTTTAGAGCTCAAAAATAGCATTTTCAGACAAATTTTCGGATCAGTTTTTCGGGGGGTCGATCCATCCAGGCTATGAAAAAATACTCACAGTGGATTGATCCAAGACCTTGGATTGATCTTGACAGTGGCTTTTCAGTCACTGTTCATCATCTTCTTCGTCCGGGTCCAATTTTGAAAATGTCATTTTTAGTCACCGAACATCAATCAAATTATATAGAAATATTCTCCAAGGTTCATAGATCATTTTGTTATCATTAATTCATAGTTTTAACAACAATTTCATGGTTTATGATTCTTGGTTCTTCAAGCATGTCAAACACAAAACTCAACCAAACGACCGTTTATGAATGTAGAAACGATCTATACGAACATTCTAATCACTAGATATATCTACAGGTTTACCTCGAAGTTTAATAAAGGTTTTTGAAATTTTCCGGCAAAACTTCCGGTGACCCAGGTGGATCTCATCTTCAGCTTAACCCTGAGTTTAATTAGCAGTTTAGTTTCAGGATTAAGACATAATTAATTAATTAATCAGATTTGTTTAGTTTATTTTCTACTAAAAACTATAAGTATTTTCAAAATGGTTTAAGTTAATTATTATTGTCTACGTTTTATAAAGTTTAAAGGTGTGATTGCTTTATGTGTTTGTTCGTGTGTTTGTTTTCTCCCTGACTTTACTTCTGAGTACGAGTTGTTGTTGTTCTTGCTCTTATTTCTTATCTGTTATCATTATCTTTATTTTATTTGCATTTTTATCTTTTTAGAATTATCATTCAACCCCCCCTATATATGTTAGTTTAGTTTTAGTTGTTAGTTTAGTTAGTTTTTAGTTAATAAAAGTGACAGGTGAACTGATTTTCATAGCCTAGAAAGTTTCTTTCCTCGTGGGATCGACCCTTACTTTCCCTATCTATATGTTTTGATGAATATTGAATCATAAAGGGGGTTAAAAGTTAAGGAAATAATAAATTAATTTGTAGGTGCTACGACACGCCTAACAGTACCGTTGCGATCAGACAGTCGAACTCTACTCAATGATATAACTTTTATATTTATCTGTAATACTTTTTATGATATCATATATTTGGGTGATTGACTTTGACAGAGTCAAAATTGATTTATTTGACCTTTACTCAAAAAGGTTCTTACATTTCATTCATATTATTTATTCTCATGATTTATTTCAATAAATCATTTCAAAGTTCATATCATAAACAAATTTCTTCATTTATCCTTGATTTGGGTTTATACTCAGATTCCCAACCAAGGTCACACAATAAGTCAACATATTGGATTTATCCCTATGAGATCTATCCGGATTATGATATTGGGCATCAAAATATATATCATTTCGGCCTAAAGCCTAATAATAGTTTATTTTAATCTAATCAAATTTGTTTATTTGAACAATAATTCAATATAACTGTTAGGGTATATTTTGGGGCGTTACAGAGAAGGTTGTCCTCCAAAATGCCTTAGAGAAGAACGAGTCACAGCTTATGGCATTTTCCCACCTGGCTAAAAGTCATGCGGCCACGATCTGGGACAAAGACACACAGATTGCTAAGCTAGAAGAGGATCTATAGGAAGCCCAGTGAGAGCGCTACGGAATCGGAAGCCAAACTCCGCCATCTTGAACATAAGCAGTCCCTCTGTGCTAGTTGGTCTCGCTCAACGAGAAGGTGGGGACGTTGGAGAAGGAGGTAGCTGAACAACAAACCCAGGTTGCCAGGCCGACTGCCCAGGCAAACTTCTTTTATGCAAAAGGCAAGTACGATATGCAGTCCTGCATCTATGGGCTCATTGAAAAAGACTTGCCTCCTCAAATCAGTATGGACGCCTTCATCCAGCATTACGGGCTACCTGCCAAACTCCACCCCCAAACTCCACAAATACTCAACTTTTGGTAACTTTTTCCTTTTCTTTTACTCATGTTGTAAGTAATCCCACTTTGGACCTATAGGTGATGTGATGTCGACCTCTTTTC